GCGAGCCGCACTACGGTGCCAAGAGAGGAGTTGGGCTAAGCTTCTGAATTTTGAGCCGACCTACCGGTATAGCGGTCGCCGAAAAGCCAAGGTAACCGATTTTCTTCTTGAGGAAGCACCGGAACCGGACCCAACTTTGCCCGAGATAAGACTTGTTCCATTAACTGCTGAGGAAGAAATGGCAAAGAAGAGCAGAGTCAGGGCCCTTCTAACTTCAACAACCAGAGCCGAAGTACAGCCATCCGTCGAGGCGCAGCCGGCCGTTGTGGCTCTCCCTTCTCAGCAGCCCTCTTCATCTCGCCCTTCCAAACGCGCCCGACCTACATCGACCGAACAGCAACTTGTCGATGAGGTTGAATCCGTCCCCCAGAGCCCTCAACCTTCCCCTCAACCGGAGAAAACTGGCCGAACTGAATCTCCGAAGTGGGCTCCGCCGTTGATCTTCAACGACCGAAACATCAAAGCCACTGACTCGGTCGTAGCCGAAAAAGACCACCAACTGGCCTTTAACCTGGCCAAAAGTGTGTGCCTCCCCAAGGACATGGAGCACCACTTGAAGCAACTGAACACCGAAATGAAATCAATTCGGTCTGCTTCCAAGTCCATGATCTTGGTAAGTAGCTCTGTCTGTTTTTTCTGTCTAAATTTTTCCAACTTTTACTTCGGCTGAGATGAGATTTTCGTTTTGCCAGGCCTTGCAAAAGAACAATGTCACTTATAGGAAAGTCCAAGAACTCCGCAAAACCACAAGGCAGGCGATGGCGGAAGCCGAAGCAAAGGCGGCCGAACTACTACAAGCCGAAAAGAGAACGGGCGAGCTAGAAGCGGAGAACGGCCGTCTTGCCGATCTAGTTAACTCGGCTGAAGCGGAGAAGCAAAAAGCGGCCATTGTAATGAAAGACAAATATCTGCGTGAGCTGCTGAAGCTTGAGAAGAGAAAAGACGCCGAAATAAACGAACTGAAAAAGAACATGGAGGCGGCCGAAAAGGAGGGGCACAAGCGGGGTTACAAGGAGGCGGAGGAAGCCTATGTGAAACAATGTGATGCTGCCAAGGAGCTGTTCTTCAAATGTGGTTGGAGGGCGGCTATTGAGCAGCTCGGTCATGACCAACAGGCCGAGGTCTACAACCCTCCAGAATACTTCATACCGAAGTCCCTTGCGGCGTATGCAGACGCTCTGCAACAAGAGTTTTTGGAGGACTCTGACACTGAAGACTCCTCTGCTCCTGAAGACATTCCGGTTGTTGGTGCCGACCCATCACTTCGGTTGGAACCCATGGTAGAGGACCTTCCAAACGAGCAGCCGAATGAAGACGTGGTTCCAACCGAAGGAATCATGGCAGCCGAGAATGAGCTTCCTCTTGAGACCGGTCTTCGAGTTGGTGATGATGCAGCTTTCGACGCCGAGATAGATGAACTTTTTTCTTAATTTTGCACTCTGTTCTCTGTAACCGAACTACACTTGTTTGTAATGACTTTTTCTTTGAATGAAAATTTTACGCAACTCTTATTCCGGTTGTTGTGTGTATGCCTGTATTTTGTAATGTCTTCTATTACTCCAACTGTTATTTCGTTACCGGCCACCATATCTTCAAGGCGTTGCTTATTTCGTTTCGGTTGATCCATGATCGTTTGTATAGTCTCCTGCATTGAGGTTGAGGGTGAGGTTTGAGCTACTGAGTTGAAATTCAGGGCCCGTCTTGCGGCGATATTCTCTGGTCCAAGCATGTTTCTTGGAGTAACATCATCTCTTGGTGTAACATTGTCAACAACGAGCGAAGGATCATCTGTTATGCTTGCCATGAACGTACTTGAGTATTCCCACAGATGGCACCAATTGTAGAGAGGTGGTTTGGAAATACTCCTGAATTCAGTCTGACGTCCCTGATCATTTGATCATTACCTGAAAAAGGGATGAACACTCCGGTCGGAAATGCCGGAATTAATTGTACGGGGAGGAAATAATTCTCCTCGTATAATCCTGTTGACCAAGTCCACGCTTCTCCGTACGACGTCGCTTTGTCACCTGAAAACACAAACGTGAGCTAGCCGGCGGGTGTGTGCCGGAAACCTCTCCGATGCCTAAGTCAGAAAACTTGACAAATAGACAAAGCTCTAAGTTCTCAGAAAGATTGTGTTCAATTACCTCCTCCAAGGTGATGCTTGTGAGCTTTTATAAGTTTCCCGTGGCACAATCCTAGTAGGACTTGTACTTCTCCTTGCAGAGTCCTCCTAGGATTCGTTCTCCTAAGGATAATGCTTATCCTTTCACACCCTCCCCCACTGCTTAAACCAAGTGGGATGGTTCTCTTTATGGCCGAACTTCTATTTGACCGAAGTAAAAATGGCTATGCCGAGCCACCAAGTAGGCCGTACTAACAGTTGTTCGGTTCTTCTTCATGCTATCATATCTCGGTTCTCTAATACCTGAACCGTGGTATGTTCGGACCGAACCACTGACTCGACCGGCATAACTCTCAAACCGGTATGCCTCTAAGGCCGGTCTAACTCCAAGTTGCTCCCCAAAGTAACTCTAGCCGAAGTAACTCTATTACTTCGTAAGCCGAAGTAATTCCACCTCCTTTGGGCCGGAGTAACTCTGTCTCTCCTAGGCCGGAGTAACCATTACGGCCTTTTTTGCTTAATCCTTCGCTTTTCTGGGCCTTAAAGCCCAACTCGCAGCTCGGCCCAGTTTTTCCCAAAAATTGCCCTCTCAGTTATTACTATAATACCATTGTTATTACTATAATTTGGTAATGAATAGTACTATTTTGCCAAATATAGTAATAATGCTCCAATGGTTACTTGCTATTTTGGCAATTCTCAACCAATTTTTCCTTCAAATTTGTAGGTGTTGTTTGGATATAGATTTTTTTGTGATTTTATTTTTGTTTATTTTTTGTCTTTTATGACATTTTTTTAACTATTTGTAAAAAAAATTATATATTTATATTATTCACGACAAGACAAATATAAAAAATGAAAAAAATTTGAAAAATTATAAAAAAATAAAAATAAATAAAATTCAATTTGAAAAATTACTTGGTTTTCTACTGTTTCAATTCTGTTTTTTCAACTGAATTTGGAGCCACAAATATGTTCATATTTGCTGATGTGACATGTTTGGCAATTGCTATTTTATTTGTCAAATTTGAGAACATATATGGCATATGTCATATTTGGCAAGTAAAATAACAAGCCATTGGAGACCCAGTTTTTATCACTATTGCTATATTATAGCTTTGACAAGTATTTTGAGAGCTCCATTGGAGATGATCTTATACTTAAAAAAATATAATTAGTTTCAATCTTGTGACATAAATGCATTGACATTATTTAAGATTTTAATTTACATAATAATTAGATAAATTTTTTATCAATATTTAGATCATTTTTCATCAATAATGTATTAATCACATGAATAAAAAACAATATTATTAACTCTTATTTGTTAAAATACATATTGGTCTTTATTTATTTTAATATTTACCTATCTACCGTTAGATTAGTTTCAATTGATTTAGAACAAGTTTGGCAAGTTGTCAAAACGTCAAAAAGTTAAAAAGTTATTACTATTCACCAAAAATAAAAAATTACAACTACACAACTCTCAATCCTAATTTTCTCCTACACACTAATTTATACAATTTTTTAATGCACATTTTTTCATAAAAAGTCAAAAAATTAACCCAAACATCTATATTTTTTTCCTCAATTTTTTAGTTCAAAAAAATAAAAGTACACTTATTTAAGACACCCCAAACAACCCCTTTATCTTACTAAAAATAAGATCAATATAATTATATAAAAAATATAAGACTAGCTGTATCCGTTTAAAATCTCAAAATAAATGAGTTTATGTACTTTTTAAATTATTATTATTATTTTTTTAAATTTTAAAAGATTTCAAATTTCAAATTACTTCAAATGACTATAATTTGACCCCCCAAAAAAAGACTTCTTCATATTTTAAAATTTTTATTACTATAAAAAAGAGAGATAATAAGCCAACAGTTAAAAACAAACAGTGATTTGTACGACTAAGAGCATCTCCAATGGTGTACCAAATGTTTCACCAAATCTGAGTCAAAAATGGGTCATTTCCTTAATTTGATACTTCGCGCTCCAACGGTTCAACATCAAATCCGTTTCATCAAATTTGCGCTGGGCAACCGGTTGGTTGACCGGCCGGTCAACCGGTAACGGCAAAATATTTTTTTTTTTTTTTTTACCTGTTTGAACCTTTTTTTTTTAATTTTTTGAACTTTTGGTGGTCGACCGGGTGGTCGACCACCTAGGCAAATTTTTTTTTTTGGACTGGTTTCAACCTTTTTGTGAACGGTCTGAACTTTCTCCGGGGCGACCGGTTGGTTAACCGGTTGGTCAACTGGATGGTCGACCCGTTCGTCTCATCCCAACGGTTAGGAACAGTGCTTTGGTGAAATGCTTCGCCTGCACTCAGTTTGGTACCATTTTTGTTGAATTCTGGATTTGATATCGATTTGGTGAAACCGTTGGAGCTTAAAAAGGTGACTTTTTCACCAAATTTTAAATTTGATGCCAGGTTTAGTTCAGCGTTGGAGATGGTCTAAGGGGGAGATCTATATAATTATACAAAAAATATGAGATAAATTATCTTTTTTCAAATCTCAATATTTTAACATATTATCTTATTTGAGTCATATCATTTATTTACCATTTCAACTTGCATTTTACATTCTTTCATAAAAAATTTAAAAATATATTAATTTAACATTTTTCAAACAACCTGTAAATTTGTATTGTTATTATTTTTAATTTTAAAAATTTTCAAATTTTAAATTGCTTCAATGACTTGAGTTTGACAAAAAAAGACTCCTACATATTTTAAATTTTTTATTCTAAAAAAAGGGATAGTAAGCCAACAGCTAAAAACTCCTTAGCTCAACAGTGATTTGCAGAAGTTACTACTCCTCTCTACTCCTCCACCACACTCTTGCGGCAGCCTCGCCTTGGCCGTCCGCCGGACAAACCCAAATTTTCACACTCCAATTTCTCTCTCTACAACCCACAACAGCCATGGCTCTTCTCTCACCAAATTCATCGATCCAGAGCTGCCATGGAGACTAGCAAAAGCAACCCACATTCCCAATGGGAAAGGTCGAAGACCAGTCTGTCTCTTCCACTGTTGATTCCCAAACCACAGACCAAAATGCCGATAATCGGTGTAGGGTTCCTGGGTTCGTTCGGTTTAGATGTATCTTGGCTCTGGTACTTGGCGTGGCTGTGTTGCTCTCTGCCCTTTTTTGGCTACCCCCTTTTTTTCAGTACGGAGATCACAGGGATCTAGATCTGGATTCTCAGGTTGGAGGTGGGTTTTGATTTTTTTTGGTATCAACATTGTCTAATTGCACAGATCTGCCATAGATGGTATCTGGGTTTTGAATATTTTTGCTGGTTTTGGGTGGTTCTGTTGTTGAATTTGTATGTGAATGAGGCAATATCGTTTAAATGGGGTATTTTTATTGGGGAAAATGAGTTTGAAGGCAGTGTTTTTTCTTTTGAATTAGTGAATTATGTGAATTTGGTAGATTATCAAGCATTTAGCTCAAAAAATTAGAAATGAAATGGGTTACTCTCCTAATTTCGGTTGTCTTGAGCATGGAATTTGATGTCTTGATCATCACCATCCACTAAAATGATCATGCAATTTGCAAATTGCGTACTGGAGAATCAAGAAAATTTCAAAATTTGTTCCTTCTCTGATATTGTAATCTTTATCTAAGAGTTTTAATTTTTTTCCCCTCCTGATACAGGCTGATTTTTATTATTTTTATTTTTTATTTTTTTAAATTTTGATCCTCTGATTTAGGAAGGAAGCCTTCTTTCAATTCATTTTTATTCCTTTTTATTTCCCTTTTGAATTGTCAATTTATTTGATTGTCTTGTTAGTAGTAAGTTGTGTATAGTTTATTGAGAACCATTTATTAATATATTTGAGTACTCCTTTAAGTTGATGGTTCAAAGTAGAAATCAAAGCTGCTGAGTGTGCTATATTGATTGAATTTCCTTATATATCACTGCAGTTAGAATTTGGAAAATAATGAAGATAGCAGGAGGTGCACCAAATTTGTGTTATGTCTCGATAGACTCTTTTCTAGTTCAAAGAGTCGTTGTACTTGTTGCTACCTTTCTTTGCAATAGCATATTGACATATTCATAGGTTTCTTTTTCTAGCATTTGATAATTTTTGTCAACTTACTCAATGTTTTGCATATTTTTTAGCTTGATGATTTACGTCTTCACTGAAAGGTTCAATAGCATAATATTTCAACGCAGTAAGTAAATTGTTGCTTAGAACGTGGATTGTTCCTATACGTGGAAAGGGAACAGAGATGTAGTAAACCCCATGCTCTAAAATATGGTGCAATAGGGGTAGACTTTAAGTTTGCACTATTAGTATCTAAAGTACTTATAGAGTTCTTTTAACAATTAAACATCTAACAAAATAGTCTATTTTTTCATATTAATCATGTAAAAACATATTTCTAGGAGCATTATGGTATTTTTTTTCCCTTACATTTTTTCACGCCAAAGCTTCATTCTCTCTAGATTTTGGTTCATTATATTAGATTTTATAATTTTTTTAAATCCTAAGGAAGCCTTTAATCCTTTGAGAAAATAATTACAAAAAATTTCCGGAATCACTTTGGTTCGCTAAATTCACCATTTTGCAATGAAAGTGTACCACGTTTTGGAACATGCATTCCAAAACGTAAATTGCTTGTGTATTAGTGTTTTCAAGTGACACTGGTATGTATTATGAGAAAGGTTAAGTCTGTATTCTATCTACCCTTCCCAGCATCCTCCTTTAGCCCAAAATATATTGTATGATATTTGGGCGCATTGCATAGCTAAAACTGAGACATGCATTACTTTTATCATTGTCCTTGTAGCCTGTGAAGTAATTCCATTTGGTAGGTTGACAATAAACTTGGCATATTAAGTAACTGATGCTTCCATTAGTAGGTTCTCCAAAATTGCAAATTATCCTTTTTTAAATTTGTTTGGGGGGCATAAGATAGCTTTCTCAGGAGCTCAAAAAAGTATTGTATAATATTTGTGTGCATTGCATAACTAGAAGTGAGACAAATCCGACTCTTATTCTTATGGCATTTTGATATCTCGTCTTGAGAAGTGAGTTTAGTATCCCTATAATTACTGTGGGTGATTGTTTCTTCGAGATGGGATACTTTAAGTAAGAATACCAGATAGACGAGAAGAGGATGATATTTGTAATCTTTATAAGTGGTTTCTTGGAAATATGATACTTCAATGCATGTGACAATTAATTTATAGGCTGCTGCTATTAAACTACTGATGCTGCTAACATAATTTTTGCCTTGTGCTTCAACATCTAGTTGCTTGATTCTTTGATTAACAAGTTTGATTCTCCAGGTCGTGATATGGTGGCAAGTTTCAAGCTTAATAGGCCAGTTTCATTGCTAAAAGACAATATCTTGCTTCTTGCGGGTGACATTCTTGATGAAATAGTAGCTCCCACCATTAAAGTATGTGCCATCTCATTTTCTTCGTAATTTTTTGTTTCTTTGTTGTGTTTTCCCCTCGATTCAATTCTTTTTTGCTCCCTATTAATGTAATGTTTCTTCACAACAGGTGGAGATTACAGATCTGAAACCTTTGGATGGATCGAACAAAACAAAGGTTGTCTTTGCTGTTGTCCCTGCTGAGAAAAATTCAAGAGTCTCTTCAACTGTTCAAAGTTTGGTCAGGGCCACTTTTGAATCTCTGGTTACAAATCAATATCCTCTCCGCTTGACCACACCATTATTTGGGGACCCGTGGCCGTCCTCTTTTGAGGTGTTGAAGTTCCCAGGAGGCATTACTATCGTTCCTCAACAGAGTGCATTTCTTCTGCAAAATGTGCAGATCGTTTTCAATTTCACTCTGAACTTCTCTATAAGTGTAATACAAGATTATTTCGATGAACTGACAAGTCAGCTCAAGTCGGGGTTACATCTTGCTCCATATGAGGTATGGCAGCGATATCTTTATTGTTGTTGTTGTTTTTGTTGCTGTTGTTTTAATAACCATTGTCATCTGGGTCAAATGTTTACATTTTCATACAATTCTTCCCCTCAGGCACACGCACACCTGTGATCTGAATGGTTGTGCTGTTTTGTTTGCTGGTTTATATGAAGATCTTTGATAATTATCATGAGTGTGTTTATGTGTGAATGTGTTCAGAAGCATCTTTTTCATTTTTTAGGGTGCGTGTGTAGGTTTGAACCTTCTGTGAAGGAATGTCTTTCTTATTTGCTAGGGTAAATTAGTCCCTCTAGTTTGAGCGAAGTTTGTCTTTGGTTTTCAATTTGAACCTACACTTTTAGTTTTGTTGCAATTTGTTCCCTTTGTCACGTATCATTAGAATTTTGACCACGTGCAAAACTAGAGGGACCAAAATAGATTTCAAAAGAAACTGTAGGGTCCACTGATTTTGCACATGGTATTTTTCCGTTCAAAATGCCAATAGTGCATGACGGAGGGACAACATTGGAACAAAACTGTGTGGGGTTCAAATTGTTCAAATTGAAACTATGGCGACTATAGTGGCTTTGCTTTTACTACAAGGTTAATGGTGTAATTTACCCAATAAGTGGCTCTGCATTCCGTAATCAATTCTACTTGCTGCTACAAACCTTAAAATGTTGATTATTATATTGTTTTTATTTATTTATATTTATTTTTTGTGGAATGCAGAACTTGTATATTAGCTTGATAAATTCAAAAGGTTCAACAGTGGATCCGCCTACTACAGTTCGGACATTAGTTCTACTGGTAGTTGGGAATCCCTCACTGGCAAGGTTAAGGCAGTTGGCTCGTACCATTGCAGATTCTCATGCAAAAAACCTTGGTCTGAATAACACTGTATTTGGTAGGGTGAAGCAAGTTCATCTTTCATCTGTACTGCCACATCCCCTTGGTGATTCTAGTCCTACTCCTGCTCCTTCGCCTCACCCCCACCACCACCATCATCACCACCATCATCACCATCATCACCACGATGCTCCTCTCGGTCCCACTGTTGCACCTGCACCTGCAACTAAAATACATGCGCCTGCTACTGAGAAACATTCACCTGCTCGTGCTCCATCTGCCTCTGCACCTGCACCTGCAGTTTTGTCTGAGAGGAGTCCTAAGGCAAAGCCTCCGGGTTGCCAGTTTGGGCATGGAAGGAGGTTTCCTAGGAAGGTGAAGAAGCAGCATCATGTGGTTTCTCCTGTTGAACCACCAATTCTTCCAACATATATCTCACCCTCACCGAGGCAGCAAGTAAACCCACCAGCACCTAGTTCTTATCATATTCCTGCATTAAGTCCAATGCCAAAAGCAGTATTTGCTGATGTTCAGCCTCCAACAAAGAGTGAATTTGATGCTGAACCTCCTGATAGAACTCCATCAGTTTCACCCTTGCCATCTTCATGTGAGTGTATATCTAATCATCATGCTTTTGTTGATTAAATGAAAGCTGATATAGATATGAAGTTCTTTTTTTACAGGTAAATTTTTGAAAACTAACGGAAAATGGCCATGTGATAGTACTAATTACAATTCTCACCCTGCACTTTTACCAAAATCCTACTTTAGTCCCTCCACATTAGTCCTTAGCATCCCTGTACTTTTACTAAAATCCTATCTTAGTCCCTAAGTCGGTTTTCAAATCAGTGTTGGGTTCAATTGCAACTTGAATTGAAGCCTAGGGGTTGATGGGGACAATTAAAAGGTGAGGGACAAATTGGGATTGGGTGTAAAGTACAGGGTGCAAAGTGAAATTTGCCCCCCCTTTTTTAATGTTCCATAATCATTTGATCATATATAGATCTGTGATTTAGCACAATCTTCTATGCATATCTAATTATTTTCTTTATATATATAATGAGAATTCTTTCATAGGCATGCCATTATTTGGTGATTAGATCTGTAAACAATAGTTATAATTTTTGTCTGATGCATCAATGTACTTGTTTTTGCAGCATCTGCAGGTCTTCTTCCCACTGCTTTATGGGCAATTCTGCAATTTCTAGTTCTCATGTTACATCTATAACGCAGATAAAGAGAAGCATTCTGTTTTTTCTGTTAAAGTTGCTTCTCTGGTACTACAAAGGGCTTGTTTGTATCATTCCATTCAAATGAACAGAGAAACTGGAGGAGCTTTGTGAGTGGGAGCTACGCAAAAGCGGCGTGCCTCACAACTAAGTAGATATCTGTTGTTTTTGTGCTTGTAAATTTTTTATTTAAAGAACACAAAAAAAAAAAAAAAGAAAAATCAGTTGGCAGCATTTTCTGGTCAAAGTCACATAGGTGACGGGCCCTTGGTAACATGCATGGCCATTGTTTTATGTATGAATTCACTTCTGCAGAAATGTAAGGAGGGAAAACCAACAAGTGTATAACATTGCCATTTTGTTTCTCATCATTTTCAAGTCAAATCAGATATGACTTCATAACCTCAAAGTTAAACTTTTTTTGCTCTGTATTGTCCTTTTGTACTGCCATGCTTGTTCACCCGTATTGTTTGTTATAGCACCATTGAAAGTAGAAGCATGTCAAAACTCAACCTCTCCCTACAAGCTTGTATTTGAGCACAGTACATTCCCAATGGCAGCTTGCAGAGCGGTGAAAACAGAAACTAGGGTTTGATCTTGGGTAATGTGGACTAAATTGGAAAAGTTGGTGGGTCAAGTATATCTGTATTTATATATGTGCATGTGTAATATACGTATGTGTATGTTGTGGCGGTTGGGGGATTGTTGATTGAGTTTCCTTGCTGTGTGGGATATGTTGGGTAAGATGAGCAATCATTTGGTAGGGTGGCCAATCTTGATTATGACCATTATGAGGGGCAAAATAGTTGGTTTCAACTCCCCCAGTTCAATGGTCTTTGGTGGGTGGTGGTTTTGGAGCAACTTTCTTTTGGTGCGGTGGGGAATTTGAATCGGTCAAAGGAAGGTCAATTGATCAAGTTTGTCAAATTTAGGCTAACCAACTTCCCATGTTAAAAATAGGTATTTGCTATAGAAGGAGATGGTTTATTTGGTTAGCTCGAGGCTGTTTTTAAGGATCATTAGACCTGTTTTCTAAGCTCCAGTGTGGTAAATAAGAGGAGAGCTCTCCACTTCTGAGAATCGATGTTTAAGTAGACATCGTCCCTATTTAGTGCATCTCATAAGAGTTGCTTATAGTTTTTTTTTGTATTTTTAATAATTATTTTAAAAGCCTATGTTATTGTTGATGCCTACAATTTATAAAGTAAAAATAACTTAAATAAGTTGAAAAAAAAAAAGACCGATTATTGGGAAGTTGAAGGAGTATGTTTTTAGATTGTGTTTTTCTGATTATTAATTGCAGCTTCTTGGAAGTTGTACCAAATGGGCCCAATATTTCTCTCATTGTTATGTATTCAAATTTGAAAAACAATAATGCTAGGTAGCTCAAAATTTTGTGACTCAAATGACTCAAATCACTCAAAACGACGTCGTTTTGACAGATTTTGAGTGTAAAACAACATCGTTTTGATAGATTTGAGCCGTTTGAGCCACAAAATTTTGAGCTACCAAACATTTTCCTTTGAAAAAATTTCTTTTATGCAACAATGAAATAAATGAGTATCTCTTCTCATTCATGTAAGGATTATTTATTTTTTTTTTAATTTTTTTTTTTTTTTTTTTTTTTTTTTACACAAAAAAAAAATTATATATTTATAACATAAGGTCTTTTTTTTTTTGTACATCAAAAAATAGTTATATGTATATAACCTAAGGGAATAGTCAACTTATGACCTCCCACTTATAACGCAAATATTCTATTGCTGAATTGCAGGCACATTCCTAAAATTGAAGTTGGAAGTTAGATATTATTATGGGGGGGGGGGGGGGGGGGGGGGGGGGGGGGGGGGGGGGGGGCGGGGGGGGGGGGGGGGGGGGGGGGGGGGGGGGAATTAGTGAATAAAAAAGAGTTACCAGAAACTAGGAAGATAATGTTGGTTTGGTTTGGTTTGGTTTGGTTTGACCTTTATTTGGTGCAAGTTGGTATGTTGATGAATTAGAATAATAATTCAGGAATTGATTGTAAAATTTGGAGATAACTTAAAAGAAGCATATATTATATATATTGTACTGAATTGTGTGTTTTGTTTGTTCTTACATTTGCACTTTCTATCAAGTATGGAATATTCTACCAATTATGCTGAAAGGGTCTTGGGGAGGTTGATCCATCACAATTTCATGCCACAAATGTTTTCATAAAACAATAAATTGGATAAATTATACTGACATTTTGTAGGTTTGGAAAACACACAATAAATTTCATAATTTGGACATAATTATACCGATTCTTTTTTAGTAAAGCTAAAAAAATCAAAATTAATACAAATATTGTGAAATATAAATAGAGTTTTTTTCATCCATAAAATTAAATGATTTATTGATAAAAATAAATTATGAATTAGAACTTTAATAAAGTCTAATGTAATTATATTGAATGTGTAGAGTTTTATTATATTTTGTCTACTCAAGTAAATTCTACAAAACCTTTTAATTGAGATTCATTTGGAGCTTAATTTCAAATCAATCTTTTCATTTAAAATTTTCTTTTTTCTTATTGCACCTTCAACTATTAAATTATGTGTCTCAAAATTTGTGTCTTGTCAATTGTTGAGAGTAGAAACAAGAGAAATTTTAAGACAGGATCCTTGTCATTTCATGCTTAAAATTAAAGGAAGAATAGAAAAAAGCAAACAAACAAAGATATAATTTTCAAACAAATTTGGCTTGATTTAAGATCGCTCTTAACTTTTATATCATATCTTTGAAAATATCAATAATTTCCTCTAAATCGTAACTAATTTTTTTGACAAATTTATTTTTTTTTGTTCTTTTCATTTTGTTGTATAGCCCTTTAAAATCTTATTTTTGTACATTATTGTTTTAATATAAATGTTTCCCATATTCTAAAAAAAAAAAAAAAAAAAAAAAAAAAAAAAAAAAAATTACTTGTGATTATTGAGGTGCCGTTTGGTAACATTTGCCGTTTGGTAATACTTACGTTTTCAGCTTTCTGTTTATATTTACAAAAATTTTAAAAACCCAAATAAAAACTTGTTTGGTAAACTTTTGATTTATAAATCAGTGGTCACAGTTTATAAATTTGGCCAAAAAATGTAAACTTAAAAAATGTGTTTCCGTTTTGAGTTTTGAGTTTTTTTTTTTTTACCACCCAACACTAGCCACCACCCGCCACCATTTTCCACCACCGTCTTCCGCCACCACCAACTTTGCCCAACACCACTCACCACCACCACCCACCTACTACCCAGCTACCACCACTACCACCCACCACCCACTTGCCATCCACCCGCCACCACCCACCACCCGCCACTACCATCCCGTTGCTCGCCACCACCACTCACCAGTCTACCTGCCACCACCATCACCACTCGCCACACACACCACCCACCCACCTGTTACCCACCTGCCACCACTACCACCACCCACCCGCCACCGTCACCCACCCACCCACCTACCACCACCACCCACCACCCGTCACCGTCACCCACGACCACCCACCATCACCCGCCATCTGCCATCCATCTGTCACCACCACCCACTCGCTACCACCCATCACCCGCCACCATCACCCACCCACACACCATCACCACCTGCCACCCACCCGCCACCACCCACCACTACCCGCCACCACCCACCATCCGCCACCCACCTGCCGCCACCGTCACCCATCTACCCCGCTACAACCCGCCACTACCACCCATCCGCCACCATCCACCTGCCACCACCACCCACCCACCACCCGCCTCGCCACCACCATCTACTCGCTACCACCTGCCATCGTCACCACACCCACCCACCACACCACACCACCCGTCACCACCCACCACCACCAGCCGTCACTACTTTCCACCACCGTCTTCTGCGCCACTTGCCATTTCTCACTCTTTTTATATTTTAAATTTTTTTTAAAACATTTTGTCAATTACTAAATGTTGTAGTTTATGTTTTCTAAAATAAACAAAACTAGTTTAATAAATTTTTGTAAAATTAAAACTGAATATGTAAACGTTACCAAACAGATTACGTTTTCAGTTTTCTGTTTATATTTACAAAAATTTTAAAAAACTCAAATAAAAACTTGTTTGGTAAATTTGATTATAATTAGTGGTCTCAGTTATAAATTTGGCCAAAAAATGTAAACTCAAAAATGTGTTTCCGTTTTGAGTTTGAGTTTTTTTTTTTACCACCTAACACTAAGCGACACCCCAACCATTTTCTAACCACCGTCTTCCGTCAACCACCCACACCCATCCCCCACACCACCACACCACCATCGCCACCACCAGCCAACCCACCACCACCAACCACCTACGACCCACCCGCCACCACCAACACCCACCACTACCGAACCACTGCACCACTCCACCCGCCACCACCACCCACCTGGCTAACCACCACCCACACCGTACTCGCTACCACCCACACCACCACCACCCTCACTCGCTACCAACTAACCACCACCACGCCATCGTCACCATCCACCACGCCACCATCGACACTCGCCGCCACTACCACCACCACCCACTCAGCTACCATCCACCAGCCGCCACGATCACCACCCACTCACCACGCCACCACCACCACTTGCACCTACTCGCCACCACCACCCACCACCACTCGCCATTCGCTACCTCAACCTCCACCATCACCCACCACTCGCCGCCGCCGCCACTACACCACCACCCACTCGCTACCACCCACCACCCGCCACCACCCGCTACCCACCACCCACCGTCACCACTTTCCACCATCGTCTTCCGCCGTCACTTGCCACAACTTGTCATTTCTCACTCTTTTTTATATTTTTAATTTTTTTTAAACATTTTGTCAATTACCAAACGCTTTTGTAGTTTATATTTTTTTAAAAATAAACATAAAATAAACAAAAACTAATTTATAAGATTTTTATAAATATAAACTAAAAACGTAAACATTACCAAACAGACCCAATTAATTGCTACAAAGATATTCTCACCTCCTAAAATTGTTTTCACGTATTCACCTTCCCTTGGCTAACAAACAAAAAGATTATAAAAAAAAGTAGATTTTTTTTGGGTTTTATTTTTATTTCTTTCTTTTTCTTTTACTTTTCGATTCCCAATTTCAAGATTGGAATGGCAAAAAGAACAAAATGAAACCAGAATAAACATGCTCCACAAAAAACGGACAGAAACTATAATCAAACTGGAAAATCAGAAAAGAAGGGTTGTGAAACTAAAAGTAACTGAGTCAACTGCATAAAAATTTAAAAGAAAAATGAAAAATGAAAAATGAGAACCCACTTACAGAAAGACAATGACCTAACCAACAAGTCCATTAATAACACATCAAACAAAAACAATCACAAATTCAAAACAATCTCATCCTCTCCTACCTTTACAAGAAATAATTGACAGCTCATAATTTCCATAACTCATCACAATATATCAGAAAGACCAAAAAAGCAATGATAATTTAGACAATGCAACGATAATTTAGATTCTCCGGCTTACTTTGCAAAATACACGAAAAAAAGTGCCAGAAGATACTCCAAATCCCACCCGGGGATCATCTGTGCAGAACCAAATCATTCTCAAGAAATGGAGAAGGCGCTATGGACCGCTCTCTTCACCAAAAGACTTAAACTTACCAATTGCAGATCATCAGATAAATTAGACAAAGCGGCTTCAACTACCGGGTAATTCCTGAAAATCCCAAAAAATAAAAAAAAACATCTTGATTGCCGGAAGTGAAAATGTTCGAAGTCCAGAGGAGTTGTTCAATTCTGCCACCATAACTTAACTTGAAGTATTGATCTCCTTCCCATGATCGTCCTCGTTAATATGTCTCTTCAACCTTCTTAGCCAAATACCGTAATCCATAGGATACGGAGTCCCACATAGACTATCAACGTAATCTGCGAATGCCTTCAGGACAGCGGATATGTCCCCTAGCTTCTGTTGAATCAATCTTTTCGACCAAGAGTTTTCCCTCCATTGTAGTGCCCCCTCGACTGAATCCAAGTCTGGCAAATCCCCACCAGTACAAAAGTAAAGCAGATAGACCAGGCTCTCTGCATCAGAAGCCGAGCACAACTTCCCCTCCTGAAGGACGTAAGTCGATGAGAAATGAAGATTCATAGCTGGGCGATCTCTCTCTTCTAAAATTGCGTGCCCCCATCCAATAAGGACGTAATAAGGCTGCCTCAAGCCGGATCTCACACAAATTATATTCTCGGGTCTGATGTCTCCGTGTCGAATTCCAGCAGAAGCTGCAGTTGAAAGTGCAGACAAGCAATCATGGCAACACCGAATAGCCTCATCTCGACCAAATTGGCCGGCTCTTACCATGTCAGCAATGGTTTTCCCAACTGGACTTGTCACAAGAATTGGGGTCCCACACAAAGGATTGACACAGTTGCCACCCGAGCTCGGTCTCCGACACTTACCCTGGTGAACTATCCTACCAGAAGCGCTCAATTGTGGCAGATACTTATCAGACAGACCCTTTTGTTTCATAACAGTCAATATTTTAGTCTGCCTCTGAACTTGATACCACAACTTCATATCTTCCCATGCCGGTTCCATCTGAGAAGGATGTGAACCAATATACAGAAACAGATCATTTCCCGGATCTTCGACAGGAGATGCAATATAGTACGGAATTTCACCATCATCCAGAACTTCATTAATCTGATAACCTTTTTGATAATCTGAATCCTCCAACCATAGAACTGACCCTATTTCCATCTTCATCGACTTTGCAGAGTCCATTATTTGGACGGATTCCTCCTGTACTTCAACAATTTCAGGAGAAACACTGCGCTGCTGAAACTGGAACAACCCGTTTCCGTTCACCCGGGTATCACCCAACTGTCTTTCGGATCTTCTTGTTTGGAGACGACAACTGTGGTCGGCAGCTAAATCTTCAACCGAGTTCTTGGGCATTCCGGCATATTGTGCGAGACAATGGAAAGTTGCGAAAAGCACTTGTAGAGCACCAATATCACCCCAGTTGGCATTTCCAAGCTTGTTCCAGACCCTATCAATGGGGGAAACTGAAATTCGTGAATAACTTTTTATCCACTCAGCAGCGCATCCGTAAACATTATTCACATCACACTCCAATTTATTCACATCTCCTTCAACTTTTACAACCCCACCATATTGAGAATCAACAAGAAGAACAAAAACAGAATTTGAACTAGGAGAAACATTTGATCTACTGAGTCTTCTTGATAATAAAATACGAACAGCGAAAAATAGAGCTTCACCTATAACCGACGAAAAGGACTTCTGGTCCCTCTCCACTGCAAGGCTTCCAATATCAGGCCTCAAAAGTGCTACTTCAAGAATATCCTCCCACTTCCCATGTGGGTGTCTCGGGTTTTTTAGCATTATAGCTGTGGCACAAAGACCTCCAAGTTTCCCATTAGCAATTGCCTTCTCAGCTTGGTAGAATTTCAAGTTTGCATCATAAAGACAGGCAACGTAGAAAGGCATAGGCCCATCCTGACTCCAAAAGGCCTCCCACAAGCTCTTTACACTCGTGTGTAAAAAATCCTCAATAGCAAGATAAGCAGTTGCTTCCACAGCACCTGATGTCGAAGCATAAACAGCACTGGGCATTCGAATCAGCTGCTGAAAGGATACCCCTTCCAATGCATAATCAAACTTTTGAAGATCTATCAACTCAAAAGGAACATCGAAAGCAGTTGTTTTATTTGATGACTGTTCTGTAATTTCTTCAAACCAGTTCTCAAGGTTTGCGGTCAGAATTTCACTGTCCACAAATCTATGAAGGAACTCCTTCCAATTCTGAGACTTACCACTTGACGAAACACTGGATTTTTTTGTCCCAGACCCTACTGATTCATGATCCGGGGATCCACCTGTCAAATAGTATATATAAGATATTTATCAAAAATATATATATATATATATAAAATAGTATATATAAGATAGATCTGTCAGCTACTTTCTTCGAATATTTTATTTATTTATTTTTTTGCAACACACACAAACACAACACAATATTAAAAACAACATGCCAGCAAATCATATTGTGGCTAAGTATGAGATGAAGCAATTCCACGCAATGTTTCTGAACCTGGGATGTTCACTATATCAGCAGTTCAACATAAGTACAAGACGTCAAAATAAAAATACTATGAATGAATTATCTAACAAAACGAAATGATAAGTTTGCAATTTTTTGGACATGAGTTGTAGAGGTCACTTGTAGGTAGGACTAGAATGTTCTAGTTACTAAAGGTTTACCAGTTTCCTATTTGTCAGTCTCTTATTAGAATTAGGAGAACTCTAGAAACCTATGAATTTGCATGCACTCTTCTTTTCTTTAGATTTAGAGAATTGAGTTTAATGAATTAGTAATTGTGTTTTTTATTTTCTCTTTCTGGTTTGCATAACCCTTTGATAGGATAAACCTCTGGTCTTTCTCCCTCTTCACAAGAACTTTAAGAAGTAATAGCATAGGAAACTGCACATTCAGTGTTCACAAATCACAAGAACAAGTTCTGTTGCTAAATCGTCAGTACCTCTCTCAAGAATTTTGCTACAGCAAGGAAAGGCTGTAAATTTAAGGTTCCATATGCTAGAAGGATGGTTCTAGAGTTAATAGACCAAAAGGAATTGAATTTGGCTTGATTCAAAAAGGTAGAGCTAGCTTGTTAACTTTTCAAGAGGGAGCATGCTATAAGTTCTGGATAGCAACTATTTTAAAGGGTTCAGGAGACAAATCAATGACCAAAAGGTAGGAAAGGGATTTAACATGGTAGTGGTTTGTAGCTGAACTTGGGTTTGTGCTAAGGCTTTAAACAGTAACCAGCGAACAATAACTTCAGAATTTCGGGAAGAGAAAAAAGAGGAGAAGGAGAAGAGAGAGAAGGGCTTCACCCTTGCAAAGAATAAGAAAAATAATACAAAACATAACCCAAATTCTCATAACTCAAAAACTTCATTGAGTAGAATAATTTTGCCATATTTATAGTGCACTAGACCTTTCCTAATTATATTTGGATTAAGATTCAAGTATAGGAAACTTCAACTCTTTGATTACAAGATTATTATCTGCATCAATATCATCTAGACATATAGAAAAATATATATTACAATCCAAAAAACATCATCACAAAAAATTAAGACCCATGAATTTATACACACAGCCAAACTAGAATCAACAAAGTAACTTAAACTTAAAAATTAGGGCACCAAACACTACTACGGACAGTTTGCCTGGGGCTAAAAATGCATCTTGATTATGGTGGGGCCCCATATCCTTCACCCTAGGCTTTCAAAGCCTTTAAATATTTTCAACAATTCAAATGGACGTGACATCAATATAATTGAGGCTGATAAGCAAAGAGTAAGATGGTGAAAGAAGGGAACAAAATCCTTCAAAACCTTGAAAGCAACTGCATAAAAAGCCAGTAGTGGTGCTTCTTGTTGAATACCTTTTCTTACTGAATTTACAAAAGCTAGCTCCTCCACAGTATTCTTCTATCTACATCTTTAAACAGGCCACAGAAACCAGAGAGTTCATTGTAATCCATCCTCCACATTTCTAAGACTAAGAACAAACTCAAACCTCACAACAAGTTTACATAACTTTCCAGAGTCCCACCTAACAATGACACCGCGTGCCATTCCATCACCCCCAAGCCAACCCAATCCGCCCACCACCCTCATCCCCCCCAAAAAATTTTTTTTGATCAACAAAGTAAAATTTTCATTAAAAATATGATATTAAAGGTTTTTGGAAATGAAATGCACAGAAAGAGATTTAGTGAGACCAGACTCCCCTACTATTGCTACTCGCATCCACACAACCAATCTCACAGCCTCACGATTTTTTAAAGTTTATAAGAACAAAACCCACCCCCCCAAATAATAATAATAATAATAATAATAATAATATCAAATCACCACCTCTACTGCCCATGACATCAATTTTGGTTTCCTACAAAAACACCTTCTAATTTTTCAATAATGCTCTCTTGCTCTCTCAATGCTCTCTTGTCCTGGGTTATTAAGAACCCTCACATACCAAAACAGAACACAGCTTCATCCAGAAACTATAGAGATATTTGCAAACTCCCCCACCCCCAACCCCCAACCATTACAACCAAAAAGGTTCCTTTCCCCCACTATCATTACTAAGACTTGTCCGTCTCCACTTCTTCACTGCTTTAGCATGTGATCACCATCTCCACAAATCAATGCCTATGGTGGGTCCATTGAGATTTAGAGAAGTTAATTTTTACAAGATGATCACTTTTATGCAACCTTTCTAATTTAACAATGCTGATGGAAAAACCATCCATGCATTCTTGATATGGAATGAAATTTCTAGAACCATCCATGCATTAGAGAAGTTAATTTTTACAAGATGATCACTTTTATGCAACCTTTCAAATTTAACAATGCTGATGGAAAAACCATCCATGCATTCTTGATATGGAATGAAATTTCTAGAACCGTTTTTCAGAAGGGTGATTGACCCATAAATCCCAAAAGGTGAACTTGTGGATCAATCAGTCCCAACTTTATTTTAATGAACATGGAAGTCCCATTGAATGGGAATTGACACATTTACCCATGTGGTTTACTGTATTAGCCATGTTTGGAAAATAAACTACCCACGTTTAGCCATGTTCTATATTAGTCACGTTTGGAAATCCACTAAGGGCCATGTTTGGAAAATACACTAGCCAGGTTTCACATTTGGAAAAAGTACACTGAGAGCTTTTTTATTGTTCCGTATTAGCCACGTTTGGAAAAAGTACATTAAGGGCTTTTTTATTTGTTCTGTATTAGCCACATTTAGAAAATACACTAGCCAAGTGTATTTTCTAAACATGGTTAATACAAGACAAATAAAAAAAAGTATACTACGGGTTTTTTTATTTGGGCCAATACATTAGCCACATTTGGAAAAAAGTACACTAGGGGCTTTTTTATTTGTTTTGAATTAGTCAGGTTTAGAACATACACTAAGGGTTTTTTTATTTGTTCTGTATTAGCTACGTTTAAAAAATGTATTTATGTCCTACAATCCACCCCGGAAAGATTATGTCCATATTAGTTATTTCCAAAATGTGCACAACAACCCAATGTGATTGAAGGAATTCAAAATCCCTGGTAAAATGTGCCAACCCAATTAACGAAGGGGCAAAATTGTCACCAAGTCCATACCACGTTTCTCTTCAAGACCTGCTGGATCACATGCCCAACCTAATAGGAATTCATGGTGTATTATAAAAAAACGAGGGACCATTCAGATCAAAACTCCCCAAATGGGATTTTCTATAATTTTCCCTTCTCAAAAACACAGTAAAGATTTATTTAGAAGCAAATATCATAAAATTAACAATAAAATTTGCAATGATAAGATTAACTAAGCATGTTGAAGCCACAATACACATGTCAATATCAATATATACAAAGATAGGCATGCAGAGACAAGCCTATGCACTTTTAGTTCACGGCTAAGTAACCCAAACTTAGGCAGCGCCAAGAAAAACTCTCTGGGAAATTCAAATCTTATGACAATTCCTTTTTATTTATGAAAAAAATTGGATGAAGCAAGGAATCCAACTCATCAACTACAGTTTGGCTCCTCGTCTACCAAGAAAAATGAAATCTTAGCAACAAAGGTGTGATGCCATATATGTTGCATGCCTAAATAAGCACATAGGCTGTGGAAGTATAAAGTGAAGGCTAAGGGTCCCACAATCATCAAGAAACCCCTTTGGTTTGAAGTGAACTTGCCATGTTAATGTTTAGGTCTTCTATTTACAACTATTCTAAACTAGTATTGTGATAGAGTTTTTTCATTTATGTTTTCTCTATCTTAATTTGACTAACAAAATGGCCTTTGATAGAACTGCGTGGAGAAGAAGGATTCATGTAGCCGGCCCCATTTGAGGGGACTTAAGGCTTGATTTGGTTTGGTTTTCTCTATTTTTAGGAGCTGGGAGTTTGTTGGTAATTCCTGAATTTACTGACTATGGTTCTAGTATGGATCCATGGATCTAATTTTCGGTCAAGTTATTAAATAGGTCACTACATATGGGTTTTCTAATGTCTAGAACAACCTCAGCAGTCAAAAAGGTAACAGTTTCCGATGTGAGGTCGTAGTCATATCTGGGGTAGGATTAGAAATCACAGTCATAGTTGGAGAGTAGTATTGGACACAAGATCATATACACCTATGAAATCTTTAGATGCTATCAGAGTTGAGTCTTAAAGAATTTGTTATCGGGTTTTGTGTGAGATTTGCTTAGCCCTTGCAAGGGTAAGACCTAATACTCTATATCCAGATTTTAAAGCTAGCTACTGTTTTCAAACCTAAAATCATCCTTAACTAGCCAATTAAGCCCTGCAGCAATACTTAAATCTAACAACCATAACCTCCACCAAACAAGAAAAGCCCCAGAAGCCCAAAGTTCAGCCACAAAACTCTTCCACATTAAGACCTAATAAATGCTAAACTTAAGACCTAATACATGCTAAACTCAACCCCTATCTTTGACCTTCTATTTAACCCCAAAATTCACAGTTTGGTTGTTGTCCAGACCTTTAGTACAGCAAATTCACAGAGAAACCAGCAAGCTGAAAGTTTGAAAAATCAAGTTGGTTCTTCACTTTTTCATCTACAACCCTGCACTCCTATTATTTAAAACCCTAATTCCACATGTTTTATGCAACGTTTTTCCCAACATAAAATATTCATAAGGCTGTCATATTTTGAGCATTCAAAGTTGTCATATATCTAAATGTCAGGAAGGTGTAAGCCTAAAAGCATGCTAATATTTGCTGTGCCAAAATTGCAGCACCTAAACCACAAAAGAACTAACAGTGTTGCATGACAAAATTGAACATGACTTATTATTCATATTTACCCTCATGTGAAAATATCATGTAGACTGTAGAATAAATTATCAAGAAAGAATCTTTTGATAAGGAATACAAAAGATTATTCTTTATTTTTGTACTAGTTATGAGCACTCACAACTTAGTTATGTAGCACCTGCTGCCTAACATTAGGGAACCTCTCTTCCCACCCAAAAAAAATTTGTCCAATCTACAACACACCAAACTGTAAACATAGCATTAGACAACAGAGGATGAATCAAGCAACAATCTCCACAAAATGCAACAAAGTTTTACATGCTTCTGGTAACCCTATAACCATTAAGTTTTTTTTTTAAACAAATTTAATAACGTTGAAATCACCTCCCACACACCAATTGGGCTAGCATAATAGGCCAGCTAATTCATCCCACAAAGCTTCCCTAGATCTTTGACTATTGTGATCGTAAAGACGTGCTAACCACCACTCACTATTATAAGAGTTCCAAAACCTAACTGACACTAAAAACAGATCTCACATCCCATATAATCAAAACTCCCCCTGACATGCTACAAGACAGTAAAGCAGCCCATCTCCTACACCTCAACCCCCAAATTCTCTTAATCAACTTCTTATAAAATTCTTCAATTTTTGTTTCTTGAAAAAATAACAATGCCCTAAAATTATTGATTCTTTAAAGAAGCACTCCATATTTTGTCTTTAGTATAAAAATTATGCACGACACCATTTTCAATACACACTAAATGACTAAATTTGGAGATTAATGATAAAAAAGAAGAGTGCCAATAGCAATCCTCTAAAATTGTTGATTCTTTATAATGCTATGACAAATTATAGTTAGCTTTTCTAACTTTTGCAAATAAGCATTTGGAAAAAATGAATAATTCTTTTTATTTTTTTAGCTAGGGTTATGGTATAATCCTACACTAACAAAGAAATTTATGTGATTGAAGGATTTGGAAAATATTGAAACTAGTATGGCCTATGTTACACGGATTGTTCAAAATAAACCAAATACTCGTGTCAAACACTTAACACTCGGACAAGAGTATGAAATATGTGTTAGATACTTTTTAATGGACACTTCTTATATAATTGTGTATAACATTATTATTATATGTACATATTGTTGTATAATTACTAAAATATTTTTTTGACATTGTAAGTTACTTATTGCACCATTTTATCTCATATATTTGATTAAAAATATGAAAATATAATATTTTTTTTTGCCGAGTCCATGTACGCTTAAATTTATGGTTCGATGAGTCCGACCTCTAGATACATATCTGCATCCGACAATCGTACCTGAGTCCATGTAACATAGTGTATGGCAGCATTGAATCCAAACATTGGATATGCTGATAATTTTTTTAAAAGAAAATCCAAATCTTGAATATGAAATGGGAAGATATCTCACTTAAAATTTTGAACTAAAGTGGCTTCCAATTCCCATGGTGCCAAACACAGAGTAATATAATTTTTTTGAAACTTGGAATTGCCAAGGTGTTGTTCCCATTACAAGATGACTCTGCACAGATTCCAAAATTGGCAACAATAATAAGCGTCTGTTCCTATTACAAGATAACTCCGCACAAGAAATGCAATAGTGAGTTCTTTGTTTTCCTTTTTTTTTGGATGCAGAAACAATTTTAAGCTACTTTGATATTCAAAGAAGTAGTAAATAACTACATGTTTAAATAAATTTCTTAATTCGATGTTTAAACTACAAAAGCAAATGAAGACAAGTATATTTACCAATAACATATCGCAAACCCTAGATCAGGAAAAGGAACAAGTATACCTAATCGGAGATAATAGAGAACACCATATCATAGCTGATAATCTTCCAATTCTGGGTAGTAGCATATCATACCATTCTTAAAATTCTGCGAATTGTACCCACTACATCATACATTCGTAAAGGACTATATTCACCAAACACATTTACTCCAAAAATCAAGTGAATTACAGAAAAAATTATCGACCCACTTACATTCATAAAGAAATATATTCACCAAACACATTTACTCGGAAAGTCGAGTGAATTAGGAAAAAAAGAAAAGGTATGCCCAATCGGAGACAATAGACAACATCCCATCACCGCTGATATCAAACCATACTTCAAACTCAGCGAATTGAACCCAATTCACCAAACACATTAACTCAGAAAATCAATTGAATTACGAAAAAAGAAAAGCTATGCCCAATCGGAGATAGTAAAGAACATCCAATCACAAACCGTTCATAAAATTCAGAGAATTGTACCCACTACCCACTTACATTCATAAAGAAATATATTCATCAAACATATTTATTTCCGAGAAATCGAGAAAATTACGGAAAAATAACAAAAATTCAGTTGAAGAAAAAGAGTCAATTAGTGTCAAAAGAGAGAGAACAATTTAGGGTTTAGAGATAGATATACCTTCCATCACGGAGAGCCGAAGAATTCAATAGATTCAGATCTTAGACCAAGAAAAAACATCACATCTGAGTCCTCTGGCAGTCGATCACTCGGCTCAAAATCTCCGGAGAGTAAGAATCTCTCTCTATCTCACTCTCTCCAATAAAAAATACTACCTTTAAGTTCACTAGCTCAGAGTACGTGTATGACATATTTTTGGATAAATTATTTTATGCCCTTTTATGTTTTACTATTTTTTCATATTGCCTCTTAAATTTATTTTATTTTTTTTACTTTGTCCTTTTAAATTTTGACAATTTTTAAGTATACAAGTATATATTATGTAAATTTACTTAAATTTTCATAAATATACATATGTTATCTTATAAAATTACATAAATTTTTATAAATATATATAAGGTAATTCATAAAAATTTTAAAAATCACAATTTATATATATTTGTGAGAACTTATATAAGTGCATATGACATGCACCTTGCACACTCAAACACTTCCCTTTAAGTTTAGACTTTTGTCTAATTTATTTACAAAGCTAATTTTTATTTCAAATTAGACAGAAAATACTACATGACATAAAATACATAAAGGGAAATTCCAACAAAATTTTTATATGATTTGACTAGTATAATAAAATAAATCCTAAATTTCAAATTTTTTCAATTTAAATCATCTGCTTATTCTTGTTAAATAAAATTGAGGAGAAAAATTATGTTTTAATCATTAAACTAAACTCAAAATGATATTTAAGATATTTTGTGTATATCTACATTAAGTTTAATGCTAAAATACATTCTTTTTATCAGTTTTACTTAATAAAAATAAATAAATGATTTAGATTGAAAGTAAAAATCAAAATATTAAAATTTAAATTAACAAAATTAATAACTCAAATTTCATTTTGTGACGACGGTGAAATTTTGAGTTTTTTTTTCTCTATAATTTTTGCAATATATTATTATATTTAAAGACCTACTCAAATTCAAACTTAAAAATATTTTTTTGATGTCACATGAAATCAACATGGTATTTCCTATCTAATTAAATAGAATTTAATTTTAAAAATAAATTTATGAAAAAAAGTTGAAAAAATGGCAAAGTGAGAAAAGAAATCTAAAGGCCAAAGTAAAACAATAATAAAATATAAGAGGGGCAAAGTGTAATCTATCCCATATTTTTAGTATTTTATTTTGTTTTTGTTTTGTTTTTGTTAGGAGTGCACATAAATCAGATTGATCAAGTTTTAAAGTAAATTAGGAATCAAACAGTTAATCTATTAAATCAGACTAGAACCAAATTATAAAAATCGATTTAGTTCGATTTTGTTTATAGTTTGAGAAATTTCATATAACAATAAATTTAATATGTATTTTATATTAAAAAACAAATTGATAATAATTAATTTAGTTAAATTGATTAGAATTTATCAATTTTACATTGATAATTATTATTCAAATCTTATAAAAAATATTTTATATTTCAATTTTTTTATAAAAAATTTAAAATAATAATAAATAAATAAGTAGAACCCGTAACTAAAAAAATTAAATTAAATCGATAATTTAGGCCGGATTATTCCATATTTTTGTATACACCTTTAATTTTTTGTTACTTTATTACATTTACACATGACTATATATCATTATTACGACGCATTGATTTCTCATCATATGGTTTATTTCTCACGATATTCCTTTTCTATATTGGTTCTTTTCGTACAGGTGAGTCAATTTGCAAACAACAATCAATACGTGGCAAATTTTAGTAAGTACACATTTCTTTTTTAGGCATGTTTTTGTAGACCAAGCTTTCCCCAAATTGAGGGTTGTGATTAAAGAAAAATTATTAGTTAGTACAAGCATGGTTATATGTCTCACAAATTATAATTTATTATATTTTTCATATTTTTTAATCACACAATATAAATATGTGAGTTATGTCCTCTTTACTAATCATAATATCGTTGGAACACCATGTCACGGTATCTCAAGACCAACTAATAATTTCTTGTAATTAAGGTTAAAACTCAGATGAATTCCATTGAGTTTAAAATGTTTCTCAGGCTCAATTCAAGTAACAGAGAGTTGTCCAAGTTAAATTTGATTTGATTCTAATAAATTAAACTCGAGTAGGTCAAATTATCCAAAATATTCACAAATTAAATTAAATTTTTTTTTTTACATAAATCATTTATATGATGAGAGAGACAAGGGATGAGAGAGATAAAAATCGAAGAACTCATCATCATTGAATAATTTTTGCCAATTATGTGAAAGAAAATAAAATGGTAGAATTCTACGCTGTCTTATTTGTATATATGATATATATTGAATATAATTTACCTTCTTTATTATTTTTACTTCATTTAATGACTAATAATTTATCTATATATATATATATATATATTAATATTTTTATATATGTATGTATATAATTCGAGTTTTAAATTGTTTGAGTTGCCTAGTGTCTATATACAACTCCCGTCTCAAATTTTATTTGAACTTTTGAATGTTTTTCTAAGTCCCCACCTAATTCAAAAAAATATTGCCTAAATCTTAGAAAAATTTGGACTACACCCTATCCAAATTGCACCCTGTTGGCACTAAAATTTATTTTTCTCTGTCAAATAAGCAAAACAATATACAGAGAGCTGATTCAGTGGATGCTAGGAGTGAAGACTATGAGTTTATAGTGGGATGTGGGTCCCAAAATGCAGAACATGTGGCAAAAGCGAAACAGTTAAAGGAGCAAATGTGACAGACGCAATTTCTCCTGTCGATTCATCTGATAGTGCAGTGGGATGTGGCCAAACGTGGCCCAGGTTAGGCATGCAAGTGATGTAGGGTACGTGTCTTGTTTGCAAGGGAAACTGCGGCAAAGAAACAGTTACCAGCAGTTATAGAGATCATGGACAGTTATACAGGAAGTGGAGGTTACTTGGTCTATGATGGGACACGTGGCAACAAAGAAGTAGCAAGTCCAGCAGCATAAAGGCTAGAAATTCGAAGTAAAGCAAGATCTTTTCAACAACATTCACATCTCATGTGAAATTAGGAGTAGCATAACTTAATTAGCAATAGCTTTTGTACTTAGGAGTATTTCTGTTTGTAATTTAGCCTCTGTGGCTAAGTTTTTTTTTTCTGTCGATTGTTATACGCATTGAACTTGAAATTTAATTCTTGTAATTAAGTCGCACGTTTACTTGTTCTTCAATCGAATTTCAATTTATTCACACTTGTTTCTTCACATTACAACCTCCAAAGAAGTTATTGACATTGTCAAGGCATAGGACATTCAAACCACAATTGGTTGATTTGTTGTTGTTTGTGAAACTTTGGTTGTTCTGTCGAATCACCTCTGTCGATTGACCCAAATCAGATTTTTGCTAACATATTTTGGCACGCCCAGTGAGACCTATCTAATTTGGAGTGATGGCTAGGAAGAAATAGCACGAAGTCTTTGAAGACCCTGAGAAAAGGGTTGAAGATGGAGAAGAGTTGGATAGTGGACTTGAAGGAGTTGATGACAACCTAGGTGATGGCCATGCAGTGGCCAGACAAGAAATAGGCCAAGGAAATGGCCAAAATGTGGACAAAACTGGCCAGTCTAGTTGTCCTCCTATTGATCCAAGAAGGACTCTTCTACTGCGTACTCAACAAACAATTGGTTCTATGTCTGCATATAAGAACCAAGTGATGATAGATGACTTGCTGGCTTTGTTTGAGAAGGCTAACATTCAGCCCAGCCAATCAAGAAGGGTTGGAGATGAGACTTAGGTAAATAAAGCACAATTCATACCTCCTGTAGCCCCTCAACAACATGAAAATGTAAATCAACCTGTGTCATTTTATAGACCTCTCACACTCCTAGAAAGATATGAGGAGGGAATGACCATAAATCCTGTGTTTGAGAGGGAATATCCCACAAACCCAATGTTTAATCACAACTTAAATAATATGGGAATGAGACCTGGAGAGCAATCAAGGCCACAAATGTACGGTACTCATGCATTCGATGTGCTTGCAGTAGGTTATCAGGCTATGGAAAAACAAAGAAATAGTCCAATTAATCAAGTAAGGCCTCCGAATATACGAGACCATGCCATGCAGCAACCATGTTATGAACATAACATAATATATCCAAGGCCTAGAGGGCCTGGTCCCCTTTTTCCTTACTTCCAACCAGAAGTCCAAGGAGGAGGACAACGACAACAATACTTAGACCCCTAGATTAATAATAATGAACATCATATAAGAAATGTATGGCCTAGGCTTGAGAAGGCTAGATAGGCCAATGTTTAGGAGTCTTTAACCTCCATGGGTAGAAACAACCCCCATTCCGAGAAATTTTAGGATTCCTGAGTTTACTTTATTTACAGGGGAAGAGAGACAATCAACCATAAAACATGTAGGCAGGTTCATACTCTAGTATGGAGAACCTGGCTATGATGACAATTTAAAATTAAAACTCTTTCCTCATTCTCTGTCGAAAGTGGCATCTACATGGTTTATTAATTTTCCATAAAATTTTGTTCATACTTGACAAGAAATGGAAAGTCAATTTCATGCCCAGTTCTTTAGAACTGAGCTTGAAGTGACAATGGTGGATTTGTCAAAATTTAAACAAAGGTAAGAAGAAAGTGTAGAACAGTACATCGACAAGTTTAAGAAAGCAAAAAATAGATGTCATGTGTACATGCTTGAAATAGAAGTTATAAGACTAGCCCAGAATGGTTTAGATTTTAAACTTAGGAAAAAGTTTGAAGGTATGATGTTTAGAGACCTATTTGAGTTGTCTTTAAGGGCAACTAGTTATGAGGCCATTCTCAGATAAGAGCAGTAGAGAAATGCAGCCTCATTAGGGACTTATTACCAAGTGGTTGAGTTTGACATGGATATCGACATAGATGTGGCTCGAATAATAGGTAAAAATCCCGTGGTTTGTGAAACATTAAAAAAAGCTAACAAACCTGTGAGTATGCCAGCAACACAACCAGCCAAAAAGAATGTGGTTGTATCGCATAGGTAGTACACTTTTGACTTATCAAAAGCAGATGCATTATTTGATGAGTTGTTAGCAAACAAGTTTTTAACTTTGACTCCTGGCCACAACATTTCCAAAGAAAGGGACGGGGTTGGCAAGAAGTATTGTAAATGGCATAACTCTTTCAGGCATTCCACT